AACACAACAAGGGGAGTGGACTTTGATCACATGATAAAAGCGAGAGCACACAAGGGAGGTATGAGGATAGGTAAGACACCTAAAAGTCTAGATAGCATTTGTTGCCCTCAATGCAGAGAAACTAATGCAGATACTTTAAAGTGACAGAGGCCAATAGGAGAAGGGGACCAGGAACTAGAGAAAAGGTTAGTTTGAGAAGAATTAACCTGGAAGGTAACACATATGCACAGGAAATCAATGCGAGTCAACTCCCTGTATAGCTATCCTTATCTCAACTAGCAAAACCTCTTGTTCCTTCCTATTATTGCTTATACTCTTTCTTCAACAAAATTAGAGATAAGGGTAAAATAGTTTCTGCCTGGTAGCAAGGGGGTGGGGGGGAAAATGAGGGGGGCAGGGAAGGTAAGGGAGGGGGTGGGGGGGGAAGAGGGAAGAAATGACCCAAACATTGTATGCACATATGAATAAAAGAGAAAAAAATAACACTACTGTAAAAACTACTTACTCTTCTTCTCTTGATTATAGATGTGTAAAAACACAAGTTTGGACTTTTGGCAATCATCTTGCAATCAAGAGACAAGACTAACAATAAAGTCTGTATTTGGGGAATTCAAGAGAAGAAAAGACTAAAAACTCCAGGTCCTTGCTGAATAACTGAACAACTTAACAAATATGAATGTCCTTCCCCTAAACTTCATATTATCCAATACAACAAATGACCTTGCTGTTTAGGACATTTTAAATTGGGAATTCCATTACTTGCAACTAAAAGCATACCAAATGACCCAACAGGTCTATGACTCAATCAAATCTATGCAAGGAAATTATTTAGGGCAATTATTATTGCCTTTTCAAACTCAGAAGCATAAATTTAAAAAGGAAACACAAGGATTAAACACCTCAAGAAACAGGATGAATTTTCATTTTCCCAGAGGAAATAAAAAGAAGATACTAGTCAAAAGCTAATACATCCTCAGTATTTCCTAGGTACAAGATACTACATTTCATGGATTACCTTAGTCAAGCCTCATAACAATCCTAGGAAATACCATTCCTGTTTTATAGAGGAGAAACTGAAGCTGAGAAAAGTTAACCTGCCAAGATCCCATCTCTCAATAGTGGTTGAGGACTCATAGTCCAATCAGTTGACTTGAAGCCTAAGTACTTCGTCTTTAAGTATAGAAGAAAAATACAAAGCTGTCTATTTTATCTTCTGTGAAGAAAAGATCTATGCTCTCTGTTGAGCATGAAAAGTTCAAAAAAAAAAAAGAACTTGAGAACCATGATTATAATTTCCAACAGCCACCACTATTTTGCAATGACAAAAAAACTTTCCTCAGTTTGTAATAAAGAAATCAAGGCTCAAAGAGGAAACAGATTCCAAAAGAAGTAGTGCGGTTAGTGGTAGTAATAAAACTGAAGTAACTCAGATCTGATTTCTAGGTCAAAGCACTTTCATTTCTTGTACACTGTTTCCCCTTGAAATGAAAGTATCCTATCTCCATATATATGGAGAAAAAAAAAATCAAAACAGAGATAAAACTATGAAGTCTTACTTCATAGTAAGTAAGAGATTTATAATAGTCCCCTCTTATCTGCAATTTTACTTTCTGCAATTTCAGTTACCCAAGGTTAACTGTGGTCTGTAGTATTAATATATGTCTTGACGCTGTCAAGAGCAGACTACATTATTTACATAACTTTTATTACAGTGTGTAATATTTGTTCTATTTTATTAGTTATTATTGTTAATCTCATACTATACCACATTTATAAGTTAAACTTCAGCCCATACATGTCTGTATAGGGAAAAAAAAAACCCTACCAGTGTGTGTATGTGTATGTTTTACCCAATTTCAGCATCCATTTGGGGTCTTGGAATGTATCTCTAAAGATAAGCAGATACTAGTATAAAGAGGAGAACTCCAGTATTCAATATTAGTTGATGAACTTTGATATGAACAAAAATACAACAAAGCTGTTTATGGAGTAGATATACAGTAATAAAATAATATAATGAAAAAAATTCCAAAGATACTTGTACTTCCATGTTAAATGTTTAAAGAATTTTCATAGAAAGTACCCACATTAAAAAGTAGTTGAGAATACAATGACTATTTTTCACTAAATGTTCTAAAAAAACATACTTCTAGAAAATAATCATAAGAAAAACTAAGCCAGTAAACTAAATATACACACTAAGGTCAGATAACTTATATATGTATCTCCAAAAGGAAAGGAGATGGAGAATGTGTACAATTACTGATATTAATATAAAATTCTAAAAAGCCAAAAACATTGGGGAAACACAAGATGATCTGACTCAGAAAGATTCATTGTTTGGATGCTGAAGAATTACTCACTTCCCTGGGACAAATCAGTTTCATGAATTAAGTAAAGGTTCACTCATTATTAGCAATGATTTCTATAAAATCTCAGATCTTGAAAACAACATTAGAATAGAGCTAAAACACAGAACTGGCTTACTCTGCAATATCAAGATATCCACAGGAAGCAGCTGCATGTAGTGGTATCCAGCCTTCATTATCAGGTTGATTAATGTTTGCTCCATTTTCTACCAGAAACTTCACCATATCAACGTTGTCATCAATGCAAGCCTAAAAACAAAATAGAAAACGTGACTGGAAAAACACTGAATCAACAGTCCAAATAATACATCAACAAAATTAATTCTTGTTTTGTAAATTTTATTATATTTATTATCTGTACATCTAGTTATTATGACTGTATAGCCATCAAACAGGGCAGTGATGACTAAACTGCAAGAGCCCTACTTAGATACATATACAACAGTACCGCATGTGACTACTCTATGGCAACCCACTTGTGAAAACAAAAATATATATTAAAATGAAAACAACCAAAATACTATAATTAAGCATCAATAATATCTTTTAGAACAGTGGTTTTTCCTTTGGTCCTTCCTATTATTGCTTATACTCTCTCTTCAACAAAATTAGAGATAAGGGCAAAATAGTTTCTGCTGGGTAGCGAGGGGGTGAGGGGGAGAGAGCGAGAGGGCAGGGGGTAAGGGAGGGGGTGGTGGGGAAAGGGGGGAGAAATGACCCAAACATTGTATGCACATATGAATAAAATAAAAATTAAGAAAAAAAAAGAACAGTGGTTTTCAAAATGTGGTCTGTTGGGGGTTGGGGAGGGGTATAAGAGCCCTTCAGAAAGTTAATAAAATTATTTTCAAAATAATACTAAGATATTATTTCCCTTTTCACTTTGTTGCCATGTGCACTTGGTACAAAAGCAACAGTAGTAAAACTCAGGTGCCCTAGCACCAATCAAGGCAGTGGCAAAAAACAAAAACAAAAAACTAACTCTATTAACAGTCATTGTATTGACCAATATGCACTCACAATGTTTTCAAAAGCTGTTTTTATTTGTCTGTCCTTGATCAAGCAATAAAAACTGCAAATTTTGTCAAATCCCAACCCTTCAACACATAGATTTTTAATGTACTGTGGAACAAGATAGGAAGTACACATTAAAGTACTACTTCCAAGTAAAACACTATGTACAAAAACACTGAACTGCAAATTGTGTTAGCCATTGAATATTAATTTTACTTCATAAGAAACTATGATGAGTCTAACTTTTGATTTCTGGTAGACATTTTCTTGAAAATGAACAAAATGAGTCTGTCACTTCAAGAAAAGCAACTACCATCAATATACAACATGCAACTAACAGTGTACTTGTTAGCAGATGAGAAATTCAGGCTTTCATGAGAAAATGAATGTCATCTCAAAAAATGTTCTTTGGGTACCATGGGAAAGTTGTTATTTTTAAGTGAATTAGTAAATATTTTATGCCCTCAGTTTTAACCTGCAATACTACAGGTATTAATACATACAAACTACAGAAACAAAAACTTACTAGATCTTCAATACTTCTTATGAATACAAGAGGTCCCAAGATGACAAAAATTTGCAGATAACAGCCCTATACTAAATAAGGAAATCTGTAACAAAACTTCTTTTGTACTAGGCAGTATGACAGGTGATTTATCTATCTTATTTATTTATATATTATTCTCAAAAATACCCTAAGGTTCTCTCTAGAGAACACATTGTTCTCCACCAATTGCTCCTATGACCACTAGGCTCCAGCCACAGTGCACACCTTTCTATTTCTTGACCATGTATCTCAGAACATTGGTTCTTGCTGTTCTCACTGTCAGGAATGCTCTACCTCAGATGTAGGCACGCTGTTTTCTTTTTCATTAATTAAGTCTCAATGTAGATGTTTCTTCCTCAAGGCAGCACTCCTGGGCATTCTTATAAAGTACTTCCTACCACTCAATCACATTATTAATAACACCAATACTCACAATTATCTTATTTTTATTTTCTACCTCTACTACGATGTACGCTTCATAGGAAAGAAAACTGATCTAGCTTGCTCATCACCTGAGATATACACCTAGAACAGAGCCTAGAATGCAGACATTTATTTATAATTATGTATTTTTCAAATGTGTTTTAACACATTTATTTACATAAGTAATGTACATATATGTGCTTTATCACATTATGTGTGTGTGTGCTCTAATCCAGTCAACTTGACTTCCTTGCTGTTCTCCAGTTATTGTCTATACTTTCTAGCTTTGGTATTTCAACTCCTTTTCACCCATGAAACATCTGCTCCACTAGATAAAGCTTATACAAATTCTTCCGATCCTGCAATGCTGAGCACAAATATGGTATTATCCAAAAACCTTCTAATCGGCTGGAAATAATAGTACTAATAATACCAGCATCTCATGGCAGCCAATAAACTTTTGTTTAAAAACTGTTCTCTAGGGCTAAGGATGTAGTTCTGTGGTAGATCACTTGCCTGGAACGCTCAAAGGCCCAAAACTCCAGCAGTAACAACAAAACCTAAAAACAGTCCTTCTAAATGAACCCATTTACTAAAAAAGTACTATGTTATAAATACAATATAAGCAGTTCATACATGTCCTCTGAGATAGGTTGTATTTACAGACCGATTTACTCCTGGGAAATTTTCTGGAATTTGCACTATTCATAATCATTATAATATAGACTGTAGACAGATGGAAATCCCCCAGGACCGTTATCTAAGAATCTGAGGTGTCTACTATGCAGAAAAGTACGTGATTCGGGGGAGTTGGGAATGTGAGATGAAATCCAATCAATGAGCATTTTTTGCCTTCAAAATGACACAAAGTCAGTATTTGTTCTAAGGGCAAGTGGTAAAAAAGCTAATTTCTAATTTTGGTAAAAAAGTTAGTCAGCCCCTATTTCTTATCTATGGTAAGTATGTAACCGATGCACAACTAGAACTACATGGGCTGATGACTATTCTCTTCAAATTCTTTAAAAAGTCTGTAATACAATTGAATAGTAGAAATTTTAATTTACTCTCTGTTTAATTGCCAAGAGATTTCTGTGGGAAAATTAATGTGCTACCCAGTTAAATGTATATGTCATAAAAAATGGTTCTAACAGATAATGCTCCACATAAAGAAATGCCTTTACCTATGCATCTCTTTTTTTTTTAATGGCTTAAGCTTTCCGTCGGTGAGAACCTCTTAGTGAGAACATGCCTCTTGCAAAGGATCTTCTTCATCCCTTGCCAGAGGAGAAGAGGAAACACAAGAAGCGCCTGGTGCAAAGTCCCAATTCCTACTTCATGGATGTGAAGTGCCCAGGATGCTATAAAATCACCACCGTTTTTAGCCACGCACAAACGGTAGTTTTGTGTGTTGGTTGCTTCGCTGTCCTCTGCCAGCCCACAGGAGGAAAAGCAAGGCTTTCAGAAGGATGTTCCTTCAGAAGGAAGCAGCATTAAAAGTACCCTGAATCAAGACGAGTGGGAAATCAAAACCATCCCAATAAATACATTTTGGATAAAAAAATAAATTAAAAAAAATTAAAAATGGCTTAAAATGTGCACTTTAACATCTAGGTAGGAAAAAATAAAAAAGAAGTTGAAAGAAAAAATTTTAGCCTGGTAGGCAGCACATGCCTGTAATTCTAGCACTCTATGTAGCATAAACTACAAAGAAAAAGCAACAGCAATAAAAACCTAACCAGTTTTTAGCCACCAAAAGTCTGTACTTATATTCAGGAAAACAAATTATTTTCTGGGGAATGAAAACACATTAACAACAAAGGTATGAATGGCAGAAACAGAGCATAACTGATGATAAAACACAGAAGACCTTCTTAAGGGCTGCTGCAATCTAAGAAAAAGCACCTTGGGGCGGGTGATAAGATACAATGAGTCAGCACTAGATAGTAGCAATACATACATGATTCATATCTATACCCCCCCTTCATTTTGCAAATGAAGTCTTTGCTTAAATGTTAGCTTTTTGGTAAGGGTTTTTCTGTACACCATATTACAAACCTTACCCTACATTTTTGTATACTGAATATCTGCTTTATTTTTCTCCACATCATTTATTACCACAACAGACTATATATTTTTGCTTGTATGCTTACCACGTATTTATCCTTTTGAAGGCTTAACAGTAATGGGAATTCTGTTGCATCTCCAGTACCTTGTACTGTTTGGCATGTGGTAAGGACACAATAAATGAGTAGAGCAGAAAGCTAAGATTAAGTAGTGTGAAGAAGTCACACAGGCAGAAAGGAGATGATAGAGCCAGGTTTCTAACACGGAAGTCTCAGGTTCCAAAAAATAAGCTCTTTCCACACTTAACACACTGCTTTCCCACAAAGGTTCCTACTTCACCAACATATTTTCACCATTTGGCATCTCTACAAGAGGGTAACCACACATTCTAGCCACTTAATAGGTATCTGTTGTATAAATAAAACAAATTTTGCTTTACATACCACAAAAGCAATAGAAATGCTTTCAATAGCATTTCCCAAGGAAGAGAATGACAAAGTTTATTTTAATAAAAGTACTAGACACCTAAAATGGAAAAACACTAAGAAGGAATCACTTTTAGTTTTCGGTTCTAGTTCTGGCTCTGCCACAAACTTTGTGGTTGTGGACAAGTAACTTAAGTTATTTTAGGCACTGGTGTCTTTATCTTTTAAAGACAAGGAGGGATGAAGTTGGAGGATTACAAATCACCAAAATTCCCTATCATGAATACATAACAATTTATATTAACTTTAAGGGCATATTGCTTGAGAAAAGAACTTTTAGAAAACAACTGAGAACCACAGCCACATATAGAAACAAAAGAAGGAACATAAAAATTGTGTTGTATTAGGAAGTAGTTTATAAAATGGTCTTTGAATGAAGTAATTACTCACTGAGACTTAAGATAATATTAGAGATATTTATAAGTATAAAATTCAGTTTCCTTCAGAAAAGATATTTAGTAAATCTATTCTCCTTTTTTACCTTTTTATAATTCCTAGGCACTACAAAATAGGATCTCGACTCATCATTAATAAAAAAAATATAAAACTCTACTCATTGAATGTGTATAATAAAAATGAGTTATTATGATCAGTATATTCTGCTTAGAAAACAAAAACATTTGTGGCATTTCATTCAATCAGCAGAGAGCCACAAATAGAAAATTTGAAACAAAGTACAGAAGTTAAATATACAAGCAGATGATTATACCAAAAGGAAAATAAGCACAATTAAGGAGATGTGCACTGCTTGTTATGAAAGCTCAGAAATTCCAAATTCCTAAAGGAGACCCTACACCTGAGTTTAATGTAGAACAAGTAAAAAACATTTCTAGCATGTAAAGATGCAAAGGGAATATGGGAGGGATAAAGGTAGGCAGAATACAGACTAGTCTTATTTGTCATCTTATGAGTAATCTTTTAACACTCAGGAGGAAAGATTTTTAGAAAAAACAAGTAATTTTTAAAGCTTTTCCACTGGAGGAAGGCAATTGTGCTGGCTGCTTGAAAAATTAGCATATAGGAATAACTATTTTCCAATAAATGAAATGCTAATTTTAAGTATTTGCGCTTTTAACACAATGTTAAAAAAGGTGAAAATACCTAAGCAGTTCACATTAAAGCTGCTTGTTCTTTTATTTTGTTCATAAATGTAATGTTCTTTAAATATTTTAATATAAATTGAATGCTAAAAGCATTGTCACAAACTTACATTATATATGAATCTCAAATTCGTGGTATAAATCATTCAAGATGTTCTGAACATTTATAAACTACACACAAGAAACTGGCAAGGCATTCCCATAAAAATATTGTTGCTAAGAGAATCAAAAGCTAACACATGCAGCATATTAACATGACTTGGTGACTTAAAAATTTGGCCAGTTTATTGAGCCATATAAGGAAAGAAACAGAACAAATCAAATATATCTCCGAATTCTTATCAGACATGGTTTACCTTAAGTTTTTAGTGAATGCATATCCATAGCAACTACTACTAATAATTGGCAGTATGAAGACATTTTCATCCTTTAACTTTAGGGACAGACAACATTGTTAACTTGAGCTGTGAACTTATTCAACAACCTAGTTCAAGTATATAAAACTTTTGTTTTTATTGTTCCAAACAGGTTTACAAGGATAAAGGTGAGCCTGATAGAGTTGAATAAAAGGGCTACACAAATCCTCAAAGCAGACACAGGCCATGTCTTAAAGACAAATTTTGGGCAGAACTTGTATAGGTTAAAATAATCATTATATCATTCCTAAAACAAACAAGTTTGGCAACTATGTGATTTGAGTAAAATCACAAAAGTGACAGTATTTAAAACAAACTCTAGCACTGTTATATTCCTTTACATGAGAAAATGTTTTTGTTAAAGGTATAGGCTCTAGAGCCAGATTGCCTGGAATTCACCTAGTTCTGCCATTTACTGAGTGGGTGTCCTTGGGTAAACTGCTCATCCTGGAGCCATAGATGCCTCTGAAAAATGAAGATAGTAATAGTATCCATAACACATAGAATAGTACCTGTCAAATAGCTAAGCTACTATGTTTATATAAACACATGCTTCATATGCTAAATCTCCACTTACATGTTTTCCTTTTTTTAGTGTTGTATCCAAGAATGCCCCTCTATAAATTAGAAAACAAAGTTAAGTGGCAGAGAATTGTTAAACACTCCTTTCACTACTACTTTTGGTAAAAGTCCCACCAGAAAACTTGCTAGAGGACAAGTTTTAAAAGATGCATTAAGAAAACCTTAGGAATTCCAAACTTCCCTCCAAAAAACTTCATAAGCTCAATTCATAGGAATTACATCTGATTAAAGAGTAAAACAATTGAAAAGACTTATTTGTTTACAAATGTATAACAATTCAGAATGAAAGCATAGTCAATAATTGAAATGTTTATACCTATTATTAACACAGTTGACAGGCAAAAGAAAAGAATACTTAAATTCTCTTAGTTAATTTCCACTTCACAGAAACAACTTTCTATGACTTTGAACAGAAAAAGCTTAACTGACAGGAAGAGAAATTTGAGGATATACAAGGAAACAGTCCCGGAACCAAACATTTCAGTAAGACATAGAAGTCACTGAGTATGTTTTAAGAAGAACCGAAATGAACACTATCCAAGCAATGTTTTTGCTCGATTTTAAAGAAAACTAAAGTTGCATGTTTGAAAGGAGAAACTGTGGTTGTGATTTATACAAGAAAGAAAGGAAGAACTCCAAGATGTATTCCCATACTACATAAGAAACACCTTGGTCTTGCATTGAACACCTGAAAAATAAGTAAGTACATATAATTTTAGGAGGCCATCTGTAACACTTTGTTATGTAGAGTTCAACAAGGCTCTGAAGTTTTTTTCTCACCTTTCTTCTCTCCCTATTATATAAGCAGGTGTGAAGTCTAGTCATAAAGATAAAAACTTGTCCTTTAAAACAGTCATACATTCAAATAATAACATGATTCAAACAGTAAATCCAAAACAGATTAAACACAATGATTATACCATAGGACATCATTTGGACAAAGAAAAGTTCAGGCTGTGTCTTCTAGATATTATAGGAGACAACAATGTCTGAAAAAATATATCAATATATATTTGAAATGCAATATACATTCACCTGACAAAGAGAAGACACGATATATATTTATATATTTTTTGGCTGAACTAGAGATAGCAAATATAGACTATAAAAAATCTGGCAAAACCATTTTCTTGAGACAAAAAAAAAAAAAAGAAAGAAAATCTATGGGAAAAGTAATTTAAGTATTGTCAAACATTCACTCAACAAAGTATTTGAACGACAGCACCAAAAACTGGAAACCATAAATATCTAAAGATATTTATGCCCTTTACCCATTTTTCTTATACAGTTAACTATTATTTCCTTTATTGATAAAATGATTCATAAAGTAGTAAGCTGAATCTTGTTTCATTTATGGACTTAGAAAGGGAACATTATTTCTTCTAGAGTGTAAAATGCTTAGAGATATAAAATGAATAGAACTTCAAAATCATTCTCCAAAAATTTTTACTGACTGTCAACTAAATATACATAAAGCTCCATTCTGGTAGATACAAGGACCAACAGTAGAGGGCATACTCTCCTTGTGCCCTTTATGCACAGTGCCCAGTTTATCACAAGTGCATAATAAACACACGTGGAGTAATCAAAAGAAAATACTAACTTCTCCTTAATGAGTAGGATAATGTAAAACTGTTAACTACTGAGGCATGCTGCCTTTATCTCTAGTCTTCATTCTCATTAGAGTATAGTTCCTTAAAAGTAGAAACTGCCCTACATATCCCATAAAAACAGTGCTATTTCAATAAATAGGTCTTTGGTTTTCTTTTGTTCAGTTGGATTTTTTGGTGGCACAGGGGGTTTGAACTCAGGGACTTGTGCTTGCTAGGCAGATGCTCTACCATTTGAGCCATTATATCAGCCTTCAATGAATGTTTATTAATGGACTAAAATATTACATTTCCTGGAGTTTAATGCAGGAAGCCCAAACTTGAGGACAAAAGATAAGCAAGTAAAATAGAAAATTACTATATAGTATATGTAAAATATGGGGAAAGACATTACGTGATTAAAGATGAGTTAAAAAAAACTTTTTGGAAAAGTAAATCTTATGCTAGGCCTTGTTACTGTCTGAGCTCTGGAGATAGGTAGGATGGCACCCGTAGGAAGCAGTTTCCTTTTTAAATCCTACCTTTTATCAGACATGTTCACAAACTCGCCAAGAGGGGGTCAAAAAATCATATACTAATGAAAAAAAATTCTAACTTAATTTCAAGGAAAGAAATAAAAATGTCTTATTCTATGCAGACAAGAAAACAGGTTACAAAAGAATACACAACAATGATACAATTCTTGCCATTGATAAGCCCAATGAAGTGTGGAATACATTCCAAATTACTTATTAACAGACATCTTTAAGTTACGAGTTATTTTCCAAAAACCTCTCTATAGTGAAGATACAAAATTCTTACGGTTTTCCAAAATAAAATTTTAAAATTCACATAGTTTTTAATAATACCTAGAAGAAATTTTTAGTGTTCAGCGAACAGGTGGCCAATAAAGAATACAGAATCTCCTTTAATTCAACAAATATTTATTGAATTCCTACTAGAGCCAGACACTGCTTGGCTGCTATAAACAATAGTGAAGGGGCTGGAGGAGTAGCTTAAGTGATAGAGCACCTGCTCAGCAAGTTCAAGGCTGAGTTCAAACCTGCACATAGCCAAAAAGAAAAAAAAAA